TGAACAACCATTGTCAAAAAGATAAACCCTGAGATCTGTTAAACAAAATACGACCTAATGGGCCCCAAAATGCTTGTCACACTGCTTGCAAAAATTCTGCTGCAAGAATTGCGGAGAGATCAAAAAAGTTAGAAGGACTGATTACGCCAGTCAACTACAAATTCATCCTAACGGAATGGAATGGCCAATAATTCATCTCTGTGCAAAGGACTTTTGGAACAACTGAACTGGATGAATCCAATCTACTTTTTTGGACGCATCAAAACAAGCTTATGCAGCAGCAGTGTAATTCGCGGAACAGCAACTAAACCTCAATATACAGATGCATCTGTGGTCAGACTCGCAAGCCATGCTCGAGTAGATACGAGCAAAAAAAGAACCGCCACGGTTTGTATCTAACTAGATCAAAGAAATCTGGAAGGGTGCTTTTGTACTCTACTAGGTTTTAGTTGTGGAAAATCCTGCCGATATAGCTTCCAGAGGAAATACACCTGACACTTCAAAGATCCAGTGTATATGGTGGCAAGGACTTTCGTCTTTAATGGGTATTCCAAAAGTAGCATGTATGCAAACAAAAAAAAAGCAATCAAACACTCACAGAACATGTGATGGCAACAAAAATTGATAAAGAAATTACAATCAGTTTCAAAGAATTCAGATCTTAAAACAGATTCATTTGTACGTTTGCATGGAGCTTAAAATACATCAATGACCGCACAAGTCGTACAAAATCTCATCACAAAACGGTAACTAATGATTTCTCTAGAGCTCTCGGAGCAAAAAACAACGTTCTCCAAGCTACTCATAGAGGATTTTACGAGGAAATACCACAACAGACTGTGATGCTGCAGCAGAAGAATAGAGAAATCGTTTTTACATCCCAATACAATTTTTCTTTTTCTCCTACCTTAGAACAGTCCGGTAACAGAACTGACCATACTCGACATGCCCTCAGCAATGAGACACTAAAGAGCTGTAAAAAGTGCGCTACAGAAAGCCATAGAAAATATGGATTAAAGGTGAGACGTTCCAGACGCTCGTAATTGAACTTGAAGAGATTTTGAATAAGCGCCACTAACCTACTTGGATGAGAAAAAGTTAGACGTGACGCGACCTACTGACTTGTTGCTACATACGAATGGAGTTAAACCTAGCAAATCCTGATGCGGAAAACAACGACAACAATAACCACCGACTCGGCATACTGCGCAGAAAGGAAGTGGTCATTGAAGTTTGACGAGAAACTCAGGGGTATTTAAATCATTTCTTGAATGTTTGGGGGCTACATTATTTACTTCATTTCAGAGGACGAAACAGTACGGAACATAAGCCGCTGTGGCTATGTATTTCCAGACAACCACTAGTAGATGAGATCGTCTTTACTGCCAAAGTAAAACTGTCAAGACGTGTCTGCAAATCAGCAAGAATAATCTAGCTATAAAAAGCAAAGACACTTGCGTAAGGCAGGAGAACTACGACTGGCAAATGGACACATTCGAGAACGACCAGTAAACCGAATGTACCGATCGAAGCCGGTAACGAGGAAAACGTTGAAAAAAGACAAGTGAGCTTGGCAGCCAGCTTCTGGATGAAACTTGTTCATTTAATTTCTTTTGCCAAAAATAAAAAAGTGGGGGGCGTCAGCGTCAGTCGCTTCGCCCAGAATTGCCGGTCTCTCCGCCAACAAAAGCTTGAACAATATGGCAAACCAAATGCACCTTTAGGTTTAATTACTTTTCTCTTTATCATTACAGAACCTATAATAGCCAAGTCACGCGCCCCAAAAGGGTTTCCAGCAACTTTCTTTGGTGTTGCAAAAATATTCCAGAAATTAAAATCACCTTATCGTGAGTCGAGGACTTTTTGTGCTGATACTTTTCTTGTAAGGATCTCATACTTTGCAGGTTTTTTCCCTTTGGCCCTTCCAACTCTTTTTGTAGACCTTAAAAGGAAAGTAAGATCCAGAAGAGTCAAAAGTGTCAAACATTCGGGAAGTTTTCTATGCATATAAAAATCAATCAATTTATTCCCTCAAAAACTTTGCCGTTAAAGCACTATTCCGCAAGCAGGCATGCAGTTCGTTCAATGTGAAGAACTTTTGAACGCGATATTTATCATAGGTTATCTTGAACTAAACTTCGCTAGGTTGTTGGGTGTCTATATGTTGACAGGAGAACATCAAGGCGACCTCTTTTTTCCAAAAAAGTATGATCGTCTTTTCTCCAAGCGAAAGCGAAGCCTACTGCTAATACACGAAGGTCATCTAACAGTAAAAATAACAAGTTAAAAAAATCTGGACTGAATGACTTTTGATAATATAATAACGACACTTTTCAGCAGTTATAACTCTAAGGCAATGCAGAATACACCTTTATATCACGTGGTTTGAAAGAAGTTTTAGCGGTTTTGTTCTAAAAATACTTTCTCCTTCCACTCATTTCTGTTTCTGCTTTTCAATTTTCTGAAGTTTCAATCAAGTGTCTTCTCTTTGCGATTTCGTTTTGATATATTTGATGTTAATGAAAGCTCTAGCAATTACTGTTACAGTATTGGGTTTCTTATAATACTAGTCGGGTGACGACGCAAGGAAATTATTGCATAGTTTTGGAATAAATACTAAACCAGAATTTTTCATAATACCTTTGACATATCTGAATCTGTGAACGGTGTTTCCTTTGTCGTCTTCTCTACCTGAGGTGTGGGAATTCTTTTCTTTCGTGATTTTCTGGGTTTTATTGCGCTGCCTTGGCGACACAGGTCAGGTGGTGTAATTTCAGAGTTTGTCAAAAGTAACAGTTCGGATCTTGGTGATTCAGATTCTGATCTAGAAACAAGAACTACAAAGAACTCAAAATTACTGTAATGTTTATCTTTAAAAGAATTATTTTTACAGTTATTGGTAACTGGAAGTAAGACGTCTATAAGTAATAAATAAATTCAGTAATAAAAAAACTAGTGAGATATGACTGGTAAGACGGTGGTGAATCTATATCCGGGGGGACAGCGGCATTTCTGTCGGTATATGCAGGTCCATACTCTTGAAGGTTGGTTCTTTTTCTTGTCGGTGGACAACAATCTTTAAATCAATTCTGTTTTCCATTATCAGAACAAGTTATAGTCTTTACAAATTATTAATGAAAGATAACCGTAAAACTTTCTTATTTAGACCGTACATTAATAACAAGCAGTGCAATTTTTTCACAGTAAAAAGATTTGTCTCTTTCTAAGTTATTCTTTACATAAGTAGTTCCATTACTTAAACCACCGTAAGCTGAACAGTTAAAAGGTTTAATTGAAAGTTCTACTCCACTTAATGGGTTACACAGTCCCCGAGCGTCAAATGATTGAGTGAAAAGTTTTTAAAGAAACATGAAGAAGAAGAGGTTTAAAAAAAATTGTGTCAAAAAATAAAGGTTTGTTGTGTACCAGCAATGAGTTAATCGACTGCTGTCCTGCTCAAATAATTTAACTACTTCTTGAATAAAATCTTTGCAATTTTCTATAACAATTTTATTAAAATTGGTATTTTGATCTCCTGTCATTTTTCTAGTAAAATTTTTTTTATCTGTTTAAATCATACATCACTGGGATTATAATTTAGCATAATCTATTAAGCAACCTTCGCTGTCATCCATAACAACATTTACAGCTTCTTTTTCGCCGAACAAGTGTTCAGAACTGGCATCATCGTGAGCTACAAGGTCGGTTGGTTCAGGAGCTGGAGCGGTTGGTATGGGCATTGGAATATATTCCTTAGTAATGCTTTCATTTTCTGCATAATAACCGCTATCCAGATCGCCTTTTAGATTCGTTCTTGCCACTACAGTGGAAGCATTTAATTAATATTTAGTTGCTTACAACAGATTAATCACAACCTCTCTGTTAAATCATTATCTGCTTTACTCTTACTAAAAATGCTTTCTTTTGTTCGAGTACTGCTGAAGTCAAATTAGAGTATCTGCGGTATTTACCTAGCTTCATCTGATTTTATGCAGTAAGTACAATTTGTCTAGAGTAGTGGGCATTTAGTCATCTGCTTTAGAAAACCATAATCTTTGCCTTTCAGCACTTTAGATCGCACTTTACATAAAACACTCTAGATCACACCAGTAATGATTTCAGAGCAAGTTCCAAAAGAAACTTACAGTCCTCCATGGCTTCTTCTGTTTGCGTTTCACAAGATTTCACTTGCCCCCTAATGGCAGCTTTATTTTGGCTAAATGGAAACTTGATACTTTCTATGGTTTCAATTTGAGTCAATCCTTGAAGTGGAATTTTTTTTGCAACTACTTAACTGAGTTGAAAGTTCCTAGAGGAGCAAGTTTGTTGGTGAGGACTTCTGCCCAAAATGTGCCTTGTTTAGTATATGATTAATAGACTTACCAGCGCCAAATAAGAACTCTACAACAGCAGCAATGAAGTATCCATGCAAGGCAGCAAAGCAAGAGGAATAGCAAGAGAACAGCAAGGATAAGTAGGAGCCACCAGGGGACACAACAATTCCCAATTTTAACCCCCTTACATCCTTCGCAACCGACACAGCCTGTTATGTTACAGAATTGTTTTGAAACAAGTGGTTATGAATATTATAACCAACAAAGTTCACAATTTACTTCCGTTTAACGGAGGAATAGGAATTATTAGTCTGTAACTCCTTTTGAAAATAATTTTGAGAAAATCAGTGAAGTTGTTGTAGAATGCTTACTATGGCCATGTTCGGTAGAAGCTTCCGGGTCATCATAATATGGTATCGTTGTGAAAAGAGAAAGGGAACTTGGGAAAACCTGCGTAAAGTTTGGTACCCTTGAAGATAAAGATGAAACAGCTGGATTTCTAGTCGTTCCTAAAAGAGCAATAAGCGAAGTTATTTTTTGAAAAGAGTGGTAAAGTTCTACAGATTTTTCAAAAATTATTGTTGTTTTGCATGTGTTTTTTAAAAACACCGTTGGTTCCAGACGCTCCTTGATTTGCTGTTGTTGCAGTTGCTGTTGTTACAAATGAAAATGAGCTGTTCTGAGTTGGTGAACCTAAAGATACTGAAGATATGGTGATGTAGCTGATTGTTATTGTGGAACTGGGTGAAATGATACTAGAATAGCGTGTATTTCTTTTTCATAAAAAATAAACGATCTATCAAAAATTAATGAGCGCTTACTTGCACTCTGTAGATTGGTATTGGAAGTACTAAGAAATCCGGAGGTACCGTGACTTATTGCTGCTGTTTCAAATGAAACTGAATGGTTATAAGCGAGCGTTACATTCTGAGATGATAATCCAGTATTTGTTGCCGGCAAGCTAACTGTGGATGAAGAGGTGACTAAATTACGGTTAAATGGATCCTAATTTCAACTTGGCAGTGATGGCACTATTCAGTGAAAGCTAAGGAAAAAATTACTGGTGCTTTGCGAATTGCTGTTCTGAATAGTAGTTGTTGCGGAAGTTCCATGGCTTGGCACTGTTGTTATCGGCGAAACAGAGTCAATGTAAGTGACTGTTGAGTTCTGAGATACTGTGGGTAAGGCCGATGCGACAGTAATTGCTGTGGGATTGGATAAATTAGAGTATTATTGACTTTCGTTTCATACGAGCTAAGTGATCTGTTGGACACTGTAGAAATTAAAAAAATATTTAATATTCTAGATATCATTACTGGAATACGTAGGTGTTCCAGAGGTTCCATGGCTTGACACAGTTGTTGTAAATGGAACTGAAGTATTATGGGTAGCTGTGGCGTTTTGAGACGGTAGTCTCGGTGGTGTTGCAGATATGATGCCTGTTGGTGTGCTGGCAGCTAAACTGAGAAAATTAAAGTAAGTGCAGTTCTGCCACCTAGAAGTTGTTCGAGTAAGTAGGAGAATAGAAACGGATACTGATGTTTTGTAAATAACTGTTTGAAGTTGTAGAAGTCCCAGAAGTCCCATGACTTGGCACAGTGGTTATAGTTGAAACTGAAGTACTGTGAATGACCGTAACGTCCTGAGATGGTAATCGTGATGGCGTTGCGGATATGACACCTATTGATGCAAAACTAGATAAAATGAAATTGAAGTTCCTGTATAACTTTTATAAATAATTACTTTCAAACATCAAGAAGTAATGAAGTTGCAATAAGTTGTTAGGTGTCAAAAATTACTATTATTTTGATAGGAACTGTTTGGAATTGTAGTGCTTCCAAAAGTTCCATGGCTAAGTTATGTGGTTATAGGAAGTGTATCTAGTAACGCTGTGAGTTGAGCTAAATAATTACTTAAAAATAGCTTCTTAGTTTGTCACTGTATCAAAAGAAAATAAATGTAGAAAAGTTAAAAGTGATGTAAAAATTACTAGTTCTAGGAACTGCTGTTGTTCCGTCATGAAATCCTTGCGTTACAGAAGAAATCGAGCTGTTGTTAACAGATGTAGCACTATGTGCCGGTGCGTTGGAAGACGATGTAGAAAGAGGTGACACTGCTATAACATAATCTATTTGATTTTTCCTATCCTGCATATCATTGTTTAACATCGAAAAAAAATGGCAAACATAAAAAGAAATTCATGAAAAATAGAAAATTACTGGTGTTTTGAAAATAATGGCCAGAAGATGAAAATGTCCAAGAGGTGTCATTTTTTAATGTCGTCGCAGTGGTCAGGATGGAACTGTTATAACTCGTAGCATTATTATGGATTGAATAACTTGACGTGGTGGTAAAAAGAGTGATGAAACTGCCAGTTGTTACCGCTGCTTGAGCTTAATTACAGTTTACTCTATTTTTTTAACATAATTTCGGGCAACAAAATGAATAATTTGAAGAAAGAATGTTCTTTTATTATTACAACTAAAGTGAAGAAGAAGTATTACAAGCATTTTGCGAAGGTGCATTTGCGCCATTAGCTGGAACTGTCGCTGTTGTTGCTAGTAAAATAGTGACGCTAAAGTGACTAGTTGTTGCATTTCTGCCTGCAGTTGGAGTAGGCTGAGAGGTGGTTGATGGAGTCGGTCCTGAAGTTGTTAAGTTGCTTAACGTAGCAGAGTTAATCTGACTCGAAGTTGATGCTGTCGTATTGATTGTTACTGTAGAAGCAGTTTTTAATGTGAGTGACGTTGGGGGAATAGTTACCGTATTTCTCGACTGACCAGTTACGAGGCTGCAAAATTTCAAATTTTTTGGCTACTGAAACCTTTGGACGTTGCTTTAGATTTCAAAGAAGTGTGGAAAAAGCTTTGTTACAACTAATTTTGTGGAAAAAAAAAATTAAACTCGTATTTTTTTCCTGCAGGCTGCAGAATTAGTCTGAAAACATTTACGACGTTAGTGTCGTTGACGGTGCATTTAAAGTTGATGAAGAACAGGTGGCATGAATATCACAGTAGTCAGGTTTGTTTATTGCTGTAAGAGTCAACTTCATTTTTAGTTTACAATCAAAGTCAGCCAGTATAATTAATTCCTTGGGGAAACTAAGTATAACTCTTGAGATTTGACAGCCGGAACGGATTTACTTATACATGCCAAAAAAAGATGTGAACAAATCTCATCGGCAAAAAATTACGGAGATCGCAGAGCACATGATCGATTTCTTCGCATGACCCGTAATGGAGTTTGAGATCCGTCTTTAAAAAAACGCATCTTTTGCCATCGTCTGGTTCCTAAAAGATCGTGGTTTTTATTTCAAACTCAAAAAGTTTTTCAACATAAGTACCAGAAAAAAATAGGGATGCAGTATAAAAACAGGTGATTGTCTTCGATAAGTAAATTTTATTTTTTTAATAGAGAGAATAAAGTCACTCCATCGAAGATTTTCTTCTTAAAGTCATCGTCTAAGAAACCCTCGTGACTATTGTTTTGACAAACTGTGGCAATGGTATTCAACTTGACATTGGCGACTGTATATCCCACCAACAACCTTTTCACATCGTTCTAAAAAATGTTATCTGTAACTCCACTTCAACCTCGACAGAAAATTGAAAAAAATGAATAAATTAGGGTGACCTCTTTCAATGAACTAGCAACTTCGTAATAGGAAGTAACTGTCTGGAAATGAGCTAAGTGACCTCCCAGCTTTGAACAAGTTTCATCTGCAGATACCCAGTCAGATTTTGGTGAATGCTCTACTCGAAAACAGTGTTCAGAGCCATCTTCCAGCAGTATCAAAGATCCACGGCAACTACACAGATTTGTTAAGCCTTAAATTGATAGCTTATATTTTAATTATTCTTTATTATTTGCCTGGAAGATGATAAATTAAACAGCCATTTTACCATAGACAATTGTTGAAACGTCGTTCTTGTAAGGTAAAGGACCAAAACCGAGTGAAATTAAAGTAAGATACAAAGAAACGATTCTGATCATTCAGTTGGTAACGAACTTCTATGAACTTCTATACCACTTGACATCGAAAAATTGCCAAAACATGCATCTAGAACACACAGAAAGATTTTTAAATTTTAGTTTTCTTAACAATTTGATTGCATAAATGACATCATACATACTGTTTACTCTGCCTTCAAACCTAACGTTTCCTCACTACTGATCAAACCGACTCTTCACAATAGCAAAAGTCATGATTATTATTCGGAAACTTTATACCGCTTTTTTGTAGCAAAAATCATGATTAAAGCTTACTATGGTGCGTTCAACTGACTAACAGTTATATAAAAAACTACCTCTGAGCTTGCTTAAGCCTTTTACATTTTGTAATTGTTATTTTGATTTTTCTGCTTATGTGACCGAATATCAATTAACTTAATGCGAAAAAAGTAGTGAAAAAGCACTAAAGCTTGTGACACTGGTAAATGATTAACCTTTCTCAAAATTTGTAATCATTTTTTGTTCCAACAGTTAATTATTTTTTACAACTTTAATCATTTTATTATATTACATTGTATTACGTTTACTATGTTTTTTTTAACTAGAGGAAGGCCCAAGATTATGCGGAAAAAAAAGAGTACTGTAGCTTCAGGAATAATAATGAGGTAAGATCTTCAAAAGTCGAGTGACAGGTATTGGAGCTGTTCCGACAGAAAAAAGAATCGAGTGTGCGAAGGAAAGTTACTATTGTTGTAACAAACTTTAAATTCTGATAGGTTTAAACTTGGAAAGAATTTAAGCCAGGAAGAGGGTGTTGGTTAAAAAAACTTAGGAAAGCAATCTATGATGTTTGACTTTCTTAAACAACAAAAAACAACATCTTCCTATTTTTATTCACTCTTAATCTACCGTATTTATGAAGCGTTTCCATAGCGATTAAGATAATTTGCTTTCAAAAAAAAATCGAAAATCAGTCAAAGTTGTCTCACGATAAGAAACGCTATAGCACAATAGTTAGATGTTGAGCAAAAGAAAGACGTCACCGAGCAATGTCTTAAGTCAGTTATCAGTGTTTTATCTGCCGTCTCCAGTACCCACCAACTTAGCTGGCTGTATTTTAAAAACACTACTTTTGAAAAAAACCACCGTCCAAAAAAATGTGCAAATAACAAAAAATATTTGATATTTGCTGGTAATCCTAATCTGTTCTCAAAAATAAGTAGCAGATAAAAAAGCATTTACTGCATATTTATAGCTAAATTTTCAGCAAAACAGAGCCGCTACATCACACCTATTCAAAGTTAAATAGCAAGATAAAAGTTCTAGACTAACAATTACACTGAGCAGTAGCATAATAATAATAATAATATAAATCTGTAATCAGAAAAAAAAATTTTTTTTTAATTCTTTCGTATAAACTTTTTCTGCCAAAGAAAGAAATTGCGAACTGAATACTAAGAACGTTCAAATCAGGTAACATTTATAATAAGCCAATTAAAGAAATACCAATTATATTATTGGTTATTCATAATTTTAAGTATAAATATTGTCGATGATCGTTAAATTAGTAAAAAAAAATGCCATTAATTTATTTCATAATTGTAGTCAGCTGATTACGGTAAAAAAACAATAGCAATCTACAAACTGCAAGAAAAAGTTAGACAACCAAATAAATTCTAAACCGTAAAACTGGTTAAGCAGGACAAAAGTAGAAATGATTAAAGTTTGCAACATTTGGCTGTGAAGGAGCAAGACGTTTCCTTATCCTGGAGCAGCAAAATCATGCCAGCTTCGGCATCAACTAACGAAAGCTACGAAAAATTAGCGCCATTATCACAAAGGCATTTTAGGCAATTTACCTTCATGTAAATTATTAACAGATAAAATTTGAATAACTTCAATATGAAATTTTAGACGACGAATTAAAGCAACAGTTCAGAAATTGCCTCCACAAACATGAGATCAATAAGCGACGAAAAGCATGCGAAAATTCAAAATACTTGTTGACTATCTGGCAAGTTATAAAAAATTTTGACAACCAAATAGAAGTGAAAAAAAAAACGAACTGTTCCATTCAAAATTTGAGATAACAATCTCTTTGACCACTTACAGAAAAATATTTTTTTGCCTTTTAGAAAAGCTAATAATCATTCTATTTTCTTTTATTCAAGAACACTGCCGTTATGCCGTCTCCTCGGTGTCCCCATAGCAATAGCAATATTGTTCTAGTGTTTCAAATTTAAAAGCTTTCCATAACATCAAATTATATTGAGGTAAAAGAGTCTACATAATAGGTGAAGAAAAATAACTGTAATTATATGAAAATTCTTGTTGCCTGCTTCTACATACCTAACTTAATATTACCAACGTAGGTACTGTATGTTAAGAGTTCAATGCCTCTAAAATATCTCAATAGACATCCTTAAATGGTCAGTGCTGAAGCCACACACCCCGTCAGTCATATACATTTTTAAGACAATTATTTTTTCAACTTATACATCACAATAAAAGTGTAAAGATGATCTTACTTACCAGTTTTTTGAAATAATCACGTGGAAGCTAACATAGCACAATTAGATTCCTAAAATAAAAAATTATAAGAAAAAAGAAGAGAAAATGAATGCAACAAAAACAACACATATTACGTTTTGTTCAATGAAAAATAAAAGTACTCCCACCTGCGCTTTTAATTTTTTTTAAGTTAGTAAACAATGTAGCAAAATCGAGAAAAAATGTTTATTAGGAAAACCACATTAAACACGCACTTTTAAACAAACCTTTTGTTGCGAATTAAGCGATCTGATTAAATCTTTTTTTCCCCCAACAAAAGTTCATCTGTAGTTCGATACCCTATGGAGATATGTCAGATATGTACGCTACGAGTTGCATTTAAAATTAACGCTTTCTGCTCCAAAGTTATGCTCGTATGTTAAAGGTGCTACTCAAACACTGTCGTCGCTCAGGGATCTAATTTCAAAGGCTTATATGAACTTACTTAAACAGTTACTGGATCTCTTAATCAACAGCACAGAAGAGTAACACAGAACTTGTTAAAGCAAGTATAAGCCCCGTTGTCTGTTGCCTGAGCACCTAGCAGCGTCACTGTTTGTTCTGGTTCCGACCGCAGTGAACCAAACTAATCTTAAAACGACCGCTATGGAAATGGTGCTCTGTTCATTCTGAGCAACAATTTTTAAACGCTTATGAATTCTGCTGAAAAAATAAGAAGTTGCGAAAATAGAATACAAACCAAATTCTTAGCTACTTTTTTACTCACCTGCAACTTTACCAGACGAGTGGAAAGACGGCATTACTCTTTTTAAGCACCTGAACGTTAAGGTAAAAAAGTTTAGAGTCTACTCCTTACCTCGAGCAAATTTTATTCATAACTTGAACTCATCATTAAGTCAATGTCTTGAATATCCCCTAGCATCTGGTGAACTGTTTTTAAATATTTTATTGTACTTTCGCTTTTCAAGCGTAGAATGCTCCAGGATTCACTAAACAGTTCAAATTGACTTTTAAAAGAGAACAGTACAAATGAACTGTTTAAGAAATAAAAACATTAATATCAAATTTTTTAAAAAATATTTTTCTAAAGCTGAAAAAGTAATAAATCAAGGGAATGATAGTTAAAAAAGTAGTAGTGGCGGTAAAAGCAAAAGGTTAATTCAAAGCAAAGCAAAATAATACAAGTTCTTTATTAAATTCATATGTGGAAGTAATTAGTAATAAGTGGATAATATTGGAAAAGTGGTAGAAGTTGTTGCAGTTTAAAGGAAAATAGATAAATTAATGATAAGTAAGGCTATTACATAAACAAACGGATGTGATGTTTTTTATAACAACAAAACTGCCCTTGTGAATTGTACTGTTTCAGAAAAATTTCTGTGTAATTTGCTACAGATCCTAACACATACACGTATATTGAAGAAAACTGAAGAACGACTTGAAAAAATTGGCCTTCTACACATGTAAGACGTATAAAGAAGAAAGTTTATCTTATAAAAATACTATAAAATGAAAAAACTAAACGATTTTATGCGAATCTGCTAATTTTTTCATATCTCGTATGTTGTTCCGTTATGAGATTTCCTGCTTAGTGACCTTATTTGTTATGATACATATATTTTTTTCTGCACTTCTTCGTGTATCAGTGTAGATTGTTTGCGAACTATAATTCTGTTTTTTGGAGCTCACTGAAATCTTATCCGTTTCTGACAAAGATTTGCAAATATCAAATATTTGGAAAATTCCGGTTTTGTCATTTCTTTAAGGTATTTATTTATGGGTCCGCTTAGGCGGTGTAGAAGACGCGGAGAGGCACGAAGTGGTTTATTTGCCGGGGATCTTATAAAAAAAATTAGCGGTCTATTCCTGCTCACCTTTTACAAATTCTAATTTCATCCTTCATTGTCCCCTATCACTCTGTCTAATTGTCCTAAACAGCTACTGTAGCTTGAGTAAGAGGAGCATAAGCATCGTTTATGGTTTTTGTACGTTCAGAAGCTTGACCTTCGAAAATCTTTTCCACCTATGGATCTCTCAGTATTGAACCAAATCTGGCTTTGTTCACCGCGGGTTTATTTGCAAAAATGTGAGCAATTTTGAGAGGAAGTATATCGCATTCTCAACTTTCATCTAGCCTATTTTGGTTTACACTTCTTCTTTTGAATTCTTCTCATTCTAAACTTTTGTGGAACCTTTTCCCCTATTTTCCTTATTTTCGTCAGCAATTGTTTCATCTTCTTCAGAATTTATCTATGGCTTTCGTTTTTCCCAGTTTCATCAGCAACTGGTCCTAATAGGTTGCTATCATCCAAAAAAATTTTGAATTCCCAGAGACAAAAGTGGATTGCCTAATTTAGTAGAAGAGCCCTATTTAGTTTCAGAGCAGACAAGCAAAGACTGAAAAAATTCTTTAAATTGCTAATTCAACTTAAGAATAACAGCAAATGCTTTCTTTTCGTTTCTAACCACTACGACATAAGTGCCAATTATTGATTAAAATGGTTGTGCACTCGATTCTGAATTCCGTTTGTAAAAAAAATAAAAATAGGAAAACACTTCTATTTCTGCCTTTAAGTTGTGTCGTTGTAACGATCGTAGAATGCATTAGGGTGTGAGTACACCTCAAACTTGGGTAATTAAACCTTTATTACAAAAACTATACTTTTAATCTTAAAGCTACTAGTAAGTGAAATATAGTAATAAGCATAACAAAAGTAACCATCGGTAATGGGTTGAGTCAAAATTAAAGAACATTAAACGTTTAAAGGCTGCGAAAAAAAGGAATTAGCTGGCCAACTGTCAGGAAAAGTGCATCACTGTACAGTGGCTCCTTCCGCCTTGTCAAACTGGTGAAATTGATCAGCCCTCACTGATGTGCAAATTCCGGCTTTTCACATGGTTGCCTCTCTGGCAGCCGTCGTTAATCGGTTTTGCATTATACGTGCTATCCTCAGCTTCTCGCGTTACTCGTGACACTCCCGGCCTCGCTTGTCTTGATAAGTTGAGGTGACCAGTTTCCTTCGGTAACTAAGTGTAGCAAAAGAGTTCCCGGTTGATTAGCCAAGAAATATCTGAAAAAGAAAGGGTGATAATATTTGTATTGATGGTTGTTTGCATATGGGCTCGGCGTATTCGTTGCTAAATTGGTGAAATGTTCAAGTAGTCCTTCAATGTTTTGGTCGGATTGACCTAAAAAACATTTGGTTCATTTGGTTCTTCTTTGGATCCGTTTCCTTTTGTGGGTAGTACGGGTGTCAACGGTGTTCTTCTGAGTGGAGGATCGTTCTGTGACCACTGGCCGAGCATCCAGTTGCGGCGAACCTTCTCTCAAAAATATTTTTCTACCAAACTGAGTGGTCTCTGCGCACGAAATGCATATGCAGAAATTCTCTGGCCTTTTGGTGGGTAAAGTAAGTTGTAACACTATCCCATATTGCTCGCAATAAATAGCTACTAAGTCTGTAAAGATCGTACAAGATCTATTTATAGAAAGACGTGCCGGTTACCCATTTTACTGTTTTACACAAATGAAAATGTCGTCTACCATCCCTTGCAGAGACATACCTTGCATATGCGGCCGTTAACCGGCCATGCCTTTGGCCATGACATTTGCGATGGCTGTTCTATCATTCGGGCCCATTACCTGTTGTCTCGTTCTTTCCACGTCTTGAAGGCCGTACGTTTCGCCAACCGCTAGTCCTACCAGTGATCTGTAGTTGTACTTCCCCGGGGCTGAAGGTTCGATAAGATATGGAGCTGGCTTCAGTATGATGGCAGGTGTTAGTGAATGCCAGTCCTCACAAGGTCGGGACGTTAATCTCACAAACACGTTACATGTGACTTCAGTTCCGTGCGTTTGAAATAATCGTGTACGAGGTGCGTTAAAAAGGCTTTTGTTCTTCCAAGATCTGGCAACTTCAAGTACCACCGGCTAATTCGCCTTACTTAGGCTTCCACAAGATTAAATTTGATTAAATGAAATGAACTGTTTCGCTTATGACATTGGTAGTACATCCTGATCTGCTCATGTAAGCATAAGCAAACTCATTTGGATTTATAGCAGCATATTGTCAGAGTTTTCTTTTCCTTCAGGCACCGTTCTAGTGGCAGTCGTTAACATAGTTCTTCTAGCCGATTCCCGAACGTTTTATTAATGTAAATGATTTTTGAGTTTATTTATGCAAACATTTCGAGAGCGGCTACTGGAAGGATTTGCCGTTTGAAGTAGGAGTATTCTGACGTAAAAAGCACTATCAGTAGCTTTGGGTGTTCGATAAGGAAGATTGTGAGCGCGCACGCGCGATAGGGCTTTGTCACCCTAAGTGCAAAGGTTTTCTCTCCTTGTTCTACGACATGAGTTTCTCAGTCTTGGCTTTTGGAGGTTTTTAACTGTAGCGAGCCTTTCGCACAGAACAACACGCTTCTTTTCACTGCATGCTTTTTTTTGCAGCCCGTCAAAAAACCTCTCAATTCTCCAGATCCATACAGCCCATCGAATATTTACATACAAGTTGGGATCAAAGTCTGATTTGATCCTCAATGGTTGACGCTTCCGAGTCGTACTTGGTCATTGTTATTTGGTAATCTGCTCACACAAGTACGTTCTGCCACTCTCCATATTGATCGTCGTTGTACGCTGCACCGTGGCATAAAGCTTCCTGATTCGCGTGTCTTGCTATTACAGCGTAACGACTTTGGCTTTGTCCATTGGTTAAGCCTTCGAAATTGATGTGGGACTAAATCTGAAAAAGCTGGAAGCAACGCATATCTTCGCATGCGCTCTCTTCAATAGACTGTATGCAATTTACTTGACCGCGCCGTACTTCAGATGCCTGCGAATGCATCCCACAGTATCTGACTCTTCGATTTACCACTACCTTACGCTGCAGTACTTTCATTGAGTAGAAGTCTAGAAAATTGTACTGTCGCTCTTGTAACAGTTGGTTTTGATCCATTCGTCTCACAGGTTCCCACAGAGGTTGCATCAATGACTGTGGCAATCATATTTTGCTACAAGCAGCAGCATGCGATTAAAGTTTGTGTACCTACGAATGCGAGCAACAGAAGTAAAAAGAGACATGTTTAGCTAGGTTTCCATTTGTTTAGCGTAGTAGGCTCTTTTTGCTCTCTCTTTGTAGTTGCCATCGTCGTCCGGTTCAATTCTTCTTCCTTTGGAGCCCCTTCTTCAAAGTTCTTGTCACCTTTCATGGTATTTCTTTCGTCAGTCCTTTAAAACAACTACTGTTGTCGTGTCTCGCCAATAGCTAGGTTTCGAGAGGATAGAGTAACGCTGTTGGCCGTCTCATAAACTTTGCAGATCCTCCTACCTTTTCTTTCGGTAGTCTCACTCTAGTGTCCGTGATTTCTCCTTTATTGTTCGTTATCAGTTAGGCAATAAGCCCCAACTTTCATCTCGTTCGTAATGTGGTTTCATCTTTGATGAGAACTACTTAACATTTCTGGGTTTTTTTTGTGGTCAGTCTTTTCGTAAATGCTGTTTTTTGTCTCGCTTTCCTCTCAACATCTGGAAATGCCTTTTTGTCCCTTTGCACTGGAATAGGTTTATGCTTTCTTCTAAAAAGTTCTCTTCTAGAAAGCTTGCAACTCTTTTCTTCCCCCAAAAAAGCTCCGGAAATCCGTGATCTGGCTCTGCTAGTAAGTTGCCTTCTCTTAAAGCCATGATTACCTTTGGATTAATGAAGTAACTTGATTGAAGTGTATCCATAGTATTATCCACTGGTGTGATAGGTTTTGTATTTAGAATCCACTTGATTCTGATCACAATGTTTGCGAATTCGTCTACTTTCAATAGACGTTCTCCAATGGACTTCTTCATGGCTGCTTTCATCAGTCTAACAATTCTGTCGTATACGCCGCCCTTCCGTGGGGCTCTCAAGGTAACAAAGTGCCAGGCTACTGGAATTCGCTGGCAAGCCGCAGCGTACTACGTACCGTTATTTGAGACTATTACTTCTGGCACACTTCTTTGAGCAGTAACTCGATAATAGGCGTTAAGAAATGCACTCGGTGAGAAGTCGTTCACTGTTTCTAAATGAACCCCTCTCGTGGTTAGGCAGGTGAGTAGACAGATCAATCCTTTTTCAATCTTTTTACAGTGTGTTCATATATTAAAAGAACCTGCATAATCTATTCCGATTCTTTGAAGTGGTCTAGCAGCTAATGACCGCTCCAGTGGTGATTGAACAATGCTGGAAAGCCGAAATGATTTGAAGCAAAACTGTAGCGACAATAACATCCTTCCCTTGAGGCCCTTTTGGTTGTCTGTCGTCCCTTTTCAACCCAGAACAGTTCTCTGAACTTCCTTTCAACGGCATTTAGGAACTTTAATACTGAGCAAGCGCACCTTTGACCACACCTTTGTTCTGCTTGTTTCAAAGAGGGGTTCAAATTTGTGGTCATTCGCTGCTAAAACGACTACAACTCTGGCTTCCACTGCCTCCATTCTTTTATCAGATAATTCGCGCGAAGTCCATTTAGACTTGTCTTGGCTGAGCCAACGTGGTGCTTTCCACCATATGGTTGAGTGCACGATGTCTTCTAAGCTTATACCTCTGGTAGCGATGTCAGCTGGGTTCCACTCAGTTGGTACGTATTGAAAACTCAGGCTACCTTGTCAAATTTCTTCCACTCTGTTTTTTTCAAACCGTGAAAGTTTGTCGACATTTTTGGTTGCCAACCATTCTAGCACACATTTGGAGTCCGACCAGGCACAGCAAGTATACTTCTCAACTCTCATTTCTTGCGTTACAAAGTCTAATGCTCGCTTTCCGATTAATACTGCCATTAATTCTGCTCTTGGGATTGTTAATTTTGTCGTAACTTATAATATTTAGCAGCGTCTTAACTACGACACCTTTGAATATTTTATTTTTGAAGATTTTATTAAGATTTTAAAAAACAAAGATTATATGGAGTGTGCAAAAGTGAACGTATGATTATTAGAGAGAAAAGAGGCCGAGATGATTAAACAGAAACAAGGACTGAGAGAAAATAGACGCTAACCCAAGAGAAAATTAACAAGGCAATGTAAAACTTACAGAACGTTAAACGAAAAACAAATAATATTGCTTACAAAATACAAGAGAAATTATCCACCTTTAACATATGATAGTTAAGTTAGATTAATCAAGGAATAGGAGCAAATACAGCAATTATCAACAGAGATCAAAATAGCAGAACTTCTCAACCGTCGACGTACCAAAGTGCAATGCTTTGAAAAGAACCCTTCTTGCTTTCGCTATCTCGTTTTAAACGAATTCTGCTGGCGCCGGCTTGATACTACTTCCTTGCAGATCTTTCGTTTAAGACTGTTTATGCTAAGTACCCAATCGGGGTTTTGCTCCTCGTGGGCTCCAATAACAACATTATAGCTTAATCAATCCGATTTCTTTCCTCTCCGTAATTGCATTATTGTACCTTCTTGTTGCGCCGCAACAAATTTCTTCACAGGCATTATGCTCGTTTTGCAAAAGATTATATTAGTTTTGTTTCCGTCTTTCGCGTAAATCACTGCGGCATAACTGGGTTGGGGAGCATCGACAAAAAGATGAAGTTGCATTGATGACTGCCGACTTAGCGCTTGTTGTGGAAAGGTCTGTTTCTTCAATTTTTCTTCAGTATCTCTTCCTTTTTCTTCAGGTTTGATAGAATTTCGTTATCCCACTGAACGTTGTCGATCCATAGCTCTTGAGAGAATACTTTCCAGGGAAGAAATATTGGGGATAATAAACTCAATGGGTCGAAATGACTTGCAGTAAACTGTGCCAGATCTCGCTTCGTGCCTCCCTCAAACGCTTTCAGCTGGATGCTCAGAGTGTCATCTTTCCTGTTCCAGATAAGGCCCAAGAGTGACTGTTCCATTACAGTCTCCTGATCCGACATTGGAATTTTACTCATGACCTCTGGATCGTTTGAAGAGAAGTTTCTTACGTTTATGAATGCAGTTTCAAATATGTGCTTAGCCTTCTCGTATATTTTGTGTTTGACGTCGTCATTTTCTACACCAATCAATAGATTGTCCACGTACAGGTTTTCTTGAATAGCAGCAGCTAACCATGATTTATCTCGCTTGAGGTGATATTGTATGACGGCTGCGAGAAGGAGTGGGCTGCTTACAACTCCGAATAAGACTCTGGCAAATCGGTAAACGATCAAATCGTCCGGGTCTGGAGGCTTAGCGATGTCCTTCACCCACAGGGACTATCGCCGCAGGCGAAGTATGCGACGGTCAGACAAAGTGATT